TTCAGTACAGAGTTCCAGGAGACCCAGAACTGTGTCCATTACTTCCACACCACTGCAGTGGTGGTTTCCAAGTGGAAACTTAGTCGGGTGCAGCTGGCTCCTGTGACACTGACAGGAAGGAGCCATGCAGCTAGCGTATGAGGGTGGCTTGACCAGCAGTACCCAAAGCTCTTTCACTTAAAATTATCTTAGGTACAGCTAACAAGTAGCAACTTTGGTTTAATTACAATTAATGTATGGTTTCTTTTCTATGTTTAATTAATTCTGATACTTGCCCTTAAGATGGGATCTTAAGGAAGATACTATCAGATGTGTAATTGTTCAAGTAATTATCAATTAAGTAGATACTTAACACACCACATTAACATGAAAACTTTCTTCAACTCTCTCACTTCTTTCCATATTTCTCCAGTTTTCATTTATGTTTCCCTTGATTGGTTTAACTGTATGAGTCCAAGTTAACTTCAGTTATTGCGTGGCAAAAATCCTATCCCTGCGTTTTAAAGAACTTCATTTGCCATGTAACACATATCTGCGTAACGGCTATTTTAATCTTTCGTGTGAACAAGATAAATCAGAAAAGCTTACTATTAAAATTAAGGCTTTGTCTAACAAGTTTTAGACTTTAGGCTTTAAAAACTGCCTTTTTGAGAAGTTGATAATCCCATTCTGGTTTTGCAGTTGATCTTTAATTTATCAAAACAGAATCAGATGCCCATAGTGTCAGTTAACAGCACAAATATCATGTTCAAATTCTCAGCTGTTGTAATGCCAAGGCCTTCAACGAAATGGTGTGAAGTGCTGTGCTTCATCGAAAGAGCTGACCCCTACCTGCAGTTTATGCTTATGCTGAAAATATCAAAACTGCTTTGACTTTGTGTAATGTGCCTATACTTAGGAGTAGTCAGTATATATCTGTCTATATAGGAGTAACGATTTTAAGCATATAGCAACTGCTTCTGTTGCAAAAAAGTTGATGTTTCTCCCCTTGTCTTCTAACAAAATAAATACATAGTTTTCTTTCCTCTGGAGATTTACCATTGGCACGTAAGCTGTGTCTGCAGGCAGACATTCAGATCTGTTAAGCAACATACAGTCTGCATTACGGATACAGCCGTAGCCGTCACGTTAAGGACAAGACTCAAGAGCTCTGAGGGCAGCGGTCTTTCCATAAGCGTTCTGGGCATTGACACTGTGGATTTCTTAGTCATTTCAAAGGTACTTAGCTGATTGAGGAAATAGCTCTATTTTGAAAACGGTATTTTTTTTCTCAAAAGTCATTGTCTAGTAGCTTAAAGAGTATCTTTGCTTTAGGGTATATAGTACCTTAACTAAAGCAGCAGTCCTTATGTCATGGTGGTTAAAAGGTTTAACTCCCCAATCAAGTAAATTGCACATCTGTCAAACTCCCTTGCTCGAGAACAGCACTTGGGTATCAAGCCAGATTCTTTTCTCTTTCTACCTTCTTGAAAACTTCCTTTTCACTTAAAATATTTCCACTTTTCAAACATATTAGGTAATGATTCTCTATGCGTTCCAGCAGCCCTCTGAGGTACACTAAATGGTTTTTTCCCTTCTCTGCAGCAGTCCGATAGTAAGTCCGAGATAGAGAAGTAAAGTAGCTTGCCTAAAATTATGCATGGAGTAGCACTAGATCTTATATGCAAACCTGAAGTTCCCCTAGCCATGTCCTATGCTCAGACCATCAAACAGAACTCAACAATATCCACTATGACCTCTAAAGCTAGAATAGGCTAATGCAGGAACAAAAATAGCATATTTAAAATGTTTATACCATTGTCAAAAGTGTGAGCCAATATAAGCACTAAGACAACAAAAATACAGGCTTTCATGAGTTTACAGGGGAAGCATGAGGAAAAACACATTTCATCTGGCACACAACCCAAAAGAAAAACTGATTGCTTTGAACAGTAGAAAGCTATCTCAGCCAGGAAATCTAAACCTGCAAACCTCCTTTATTTAGGTGGTAACTTTATGGGAAAAAGGCTCAATTTTGTTCCTATACTAAATAATCTATTATCTTCCAGCGAGCCATTGCATCCTTGTGTTGGTCAATTCAGTCTGCTGCTGGCGCTGCTCGTTAGCGTTGCCCTCCCGCAGCTCCCTCGCCCTGGCCAGCGATCACCTAAGGGCTGAGGGGATGCTGCCGCAGCACTTGTGCGTGGAGCTGGGTGACAGACTTCCAGGTAAGCCAGAAATCAAACGCTCACTTGCCTTGAGTCAGATAATGGGATTTGCCAGTGGACTTAACTCAGTGACACGTACACAGACTTAAGAGACCAAGGAGCTGGACTGAGGAGAAAAATTCCAATTCTAGTCACTAACTGATTAGAGCAAGCAGCCATCCATCTCTTGTTTGGCCTATACCTATCAGTCTTCAGCTTCTCCCATGCTTGTGCAGTCTCCATGTACCAAGTAGCTCAGTGGCATCTGTTGTCAATCATTAAAATGACCTGCACCCCAGCCCTTAATCCAAATGCTGTACTGCCTGAGCACTCAGACGGCACTTAAAAAAATTAGCGATTTGGGGTGGGGAGCAGAGTTACCCAGACAGCTTCTGGTATAAGCTGAAAATAACAAGTATGATTTAGGATCTATTGACCTTTTCCCTGAACCACATGAATAGTACCGCAGAAAACTGAAAGCTTTGTCAAATTGCAGGTCATTCCTTCCCATACTGGTTTTAGTAAAAGAACTTCCTTTCTTGATGGTGTAAAAGATTGCAAAATAAAAATCTGTCATTCTCTTCCCCCTCCTGCTCCCCTGCCCAAAAATGGAACTCAAACCCTGAAACAATCAAGTATTGGGAAAGTCTGGCTGTATCCCTTTGAATTTCCCCCACGTATCGCTTAAAGCACCTAGCTTCAGAAAGGGAAATGTATTTTAAAGTGCATTTACCACAGCAATAGTACCAGCACTAAAAGCTTTTCCCCTCATCCCTAGTCTTGTCAATGTCTGGGATAGATGAAAATCTCCCCAGAATTCATCCTCTTTGTACCTTGAAGTCTCAGTGTATCTGCATCTATTTATGACACTGGAATAAAAGAAACCCAGCGTCATGCATCCTGCTCCGCACTAAACTCTACTCTGGAGCTTGTTTAGGTTTATTGGGCATGAGGATCCAGCATGCGGTATATGTCTATTGGATACTGCATTTAAACAGCCGCTGTGAAATTATATCCCAGTGTGTGTGGGGGTGAAGAAACAGGACTAGAGAGAAGGAACTTCCCCCTCTCCCCTGCTCCTCTTCAATTCGCTCTAGCCACGCAGTTCAGTACTTGTTGATCCCAAAGATCCGGACTCCATGAAACTGAGGCAGTTTGGGGATCAGGACGCTCATAAGGGAGATGGTGTTGATTATGAAGTGTATCCGGTCATACTTTGTGTAAAAGCTGGTTAGAAAATACCTAGAAAGGAGGGGAAAAGAGAGGGGGGGGTGGAACTGAATTATAGCACTTTGTGTTTTTTGTTTCCCAGGACAGCACATGCAGCAGAAGCATTGACCGGTACAGGCGCATGAGGGAGCTCAGCTGCCCCGAAGTACTCACAGGACAATGGGTGTGATGGTCAGGAACTTGCGCGATGCTGTGAACTGCACGCCGTAGTCCATCTGCTCCCAGTGTGTGAGCAGCCGAGCCTTCCCCTGGTCCGGAGTCTCAAAAGGAGTTCCTTTCACGGTATGTAGGAAGATGTACATACTCTGTAGCAAATACAAACGCAGTGTGAGGCATGCACAGCGTTCTCTACGCCCCTTGCCACGCCACCACAAGTGTTCAACTTCAGCAAGGACAGCACAGTTGTGGGAGCTTGCACCAGCGCGCTGTTCCACTAGAGGGATGTATCGTCGCTGCTGGAAAAGGCGCTCGAACTCACAGCAGCTAACAAAGCAGCGAGAGTTCGGGAGGAAGACCGCTAGCTGGGGCTAGCTCAGGCTTGGCCGTTAAACGCGAGGCCTCTTGTTCAGCTCCTGGGCATAAGCCAAGAAGGTGGTTGCAAGATTACGGCACTCAGATCTCTGGGATCAGGAGATTAGCATGGACTTGCTCTACCATGTAGCAGCAATGCTAAATGCTTTCTAAAAAAGTGCTGGTAGAACTTGAGGCCCCGACGGTCTGTTACCATTCTGATTGCAAGTGCCTGGCTACATCACGTGTCTTTTAAGTGTAGCCATTGCTGGCCTTTAAACTCCTTTCTGTTTCCAGGACCTAATTGTTTAAGCTGCCAGAGAAGGGGAAGCAGGCAGCTTGTGAACTGAGCCCCAAGCAGCTCTAGTTGGTGGTTCTGTGAGTGGTTTTTTGGGTTTTTCCCCCCCCGCCCCGCTAGCAACATCAATAACACGAGCATGAGGGTCCCCAATAAGGGTGTAATTTTTGTCTCTGGAATAGTCTCAGCCTGAGATATTACTTAAAATAAAGGATACAAAATCGATTGCTGCATCTCTGAAGTATTCTGTCCTCTATGCCTAAGGGTGGACAGCTGCCCAGAGGTCTTCTCAGCTGTAGGACCCAAGCGTGCCAGGACTTGCGCAGTGGGATGGCAGAGGCACAGAAGCGAGCAGTTACACGGAGCACGGTTTTCTCCTGCTCGCTAGGGAAGCTGTCACTCTGTGGCCGCAGCTTTGTCAGGGCACAGCACAGGACAGCGCTGCGCAAACACAGAAGCTTCTGGCATTGCAGAGAGCTCAGGTGTCCTGTGTCTGTCTGCATGTGTGTCTGTCTGGTGTGCTTACCTGTGCAGCCCTAGCACAACGCTCTGACACCTGTTCATTTGGGTACCTGATCCTTAGAAGGGAAGAATCTGTTCCTGGACTAATCTTTTCCTTTAAGCAGAACAAAGTGCGGGTTTTAATCTTGTTTTCTTAACTCTGATGAGACCAATTCAGATAGTATCAACCAAAGTGAAAGCTGCCTTGCCAGTTTCTGTGGCCTGTCACAGCTAGTCCTCTGTTAAGGGGGACGTGACAAAGGGACTTACCCTGCAGTCAAATGAATTTAGTGTCCCCTCTGAGCAGCCTCACCAGATGTTTGCTGTCTCATCGCTACCTAGGCTGGATTTAAATACATGACCTAGAGGCAAAGGTGCAGTCTGAGGGGTGGAGGTTGAGTAACTTACCCTGCATCTTTGGAAATACAGAGAAAGGAATCGTTTCAAAAAGACTCTTTAACTAGATTGCTCTCAAAAGAACAGCTGGTGCTGAGAGATTACCTCTCCATGCCCCGGGAAGTCAAGCCAGCCAGCCGTGTTCCCTTACCATGTTGTGAATGATGTTGGTAAGAGTCCAAACCACAGGGACGCTGAAGAAGGGGATGCTCAGGAGCACGACGTGCAGCAGGCCAATTCCAAGGACGTAGGACAACCAGATGCCCCGGCTGTTCATGACACGGGTGTTGGGATTCACCTCGCTGTGTGCTGTTCCCACGTTCATGTTGGCTCTTGTGTCAAACGGGCACCCCTGAAACTAAAGCAGAGTCTGGTCAGTACTCGGATTGCAGTAGCCCTCCATCTGAATGACTCAGGTAAGCACGGCAGGGCTCGAGCACCCTCTTGCTGTTAAGCAAACCTGAAATCTTTTGTTTGCTATAAAAATTACAAGTCAGTTCAGTTCTCTGCACCTCATTATTTCCATTTGTAGAGCTGATGTTTCTGAGGGGAAGATAAATCCAGGAGCGGTTGAGGTTTGGGAATAATGTGTGGGAAGCCTGCCTGTGACAGAAGCTACTTGTGATCTGCTGAAATGTTTTCCTGGAACCAAGAAGTCAAGGTTCGATCCTGCGATTGCCTGACAAGTCTCAAATGAATACTTTTAAGTGCTTTTTAAATCATCATCACAGTGTTAATCACAGAAGCACTCTGCACATGAAGCTTCTTGCACGTTTACAGGTTCGGCATACCTTAAACTCAAAAAGAGAACACAAGTATTTGCAGAGTAAAGGCACAGCAGCTCTGTATCACCAGATCTCCCAATTAGTTCAACTGAATTAACAGGGTTCTGCACAGCTCTAGAGACTTGCTGGTCTCCTGGTCTGGCTTACGTGTTTTGCCTTCCAATTTAAGACTTGGGGGGGGGGGAGGTAACAAAAAAATTCCCCCACAGGGAACGAGTGAGATTTTTCTTGAGGAACATAAAAAGTTAGAGATAACAAAGAAAAGCGCATTAGGAGGAAGTTTCAGTAGCAAGAGCTGCAGAGGAGATGGCTCTTCCCCTACCTGGAAGGAACAGCTGCCGCGTACGAGGAATGCAGGGAGATGTTTTTCTAAACAATGCGAGGAAGCAAGACAGTGTCATCCGCTCCGAGCGAGTCTTTGGAGCGGTGCCCTGGGGACAGCACAGGTATCGGAGTGGCTTTTTGGACTGCCGCACTGATAGCGGCAGCAGGTATCGGTCAGCTTTAAAGCTTTCTGGGAAGACGAGAGCTCTGGTTTACCTGTTTCCAGGGATTACAGGAAACAGCACAAATTAGAACTGCTGTAAAGCTGAGTATCTTTACACCAAGATCAGGGAGGTTCTTGCGTAAAATCATCTTTGTCCGTGTCCCACGGAAATGTAGTTTCATTAGAGGATACGGTCTGTCCCTCCTTGTACGGAGGACCCCAAGGCAAGGGCTGTTTCCTGATGTCTAGCCTTGTGTTTTTGCTGCTTTGGTTCCCACAGCTGGAAGACGGCGTTGCTGTTCTCTCTAGCTCTCACAGTCTTCGGTCTCAGGAGGCGAGTCCGAGCCAGATCCAACATTACGCTGCCAGCTGTTGCGAGTTCCCTTGCAGAGCGCTGGGTCTGGCTTGTTTCAGAAGCTGGCGCTTTCCCCTGTTCCTGCTCAGGGCTAGGACACAAAGTGAACGCTTGACTCCGCAGCTCCCGGGACGCTTGCTGTAACTTCCAAGCCTCTTTCAACTGTGCAGGCAGCTGTTGCTCGGGGCTGCAGGCAGCAGCTCTGGTGAGGCAGGGCTGCTAGGGGAGCTGAACAGACACTCGCCTACCTCTGCTATCCAGGCGTCGATCAGGGCATTTATATCTAGAGAGGGTTTTTGTTACCAGAAAAGAGGCTTGCAGGCCTGCGGAGTGCTCGTTTTCTCGTCACCCATCTTCCTGGGTCAAAGGTATCGGCTACTGGATATTCCAGAGAAAAGCCTGAAGCTTGGTCTGGAAGCAGGACTTGGAGCCGGAGTTCAACGCTCCAGTCCTAGCAGGGGGAGCAGCTCCAGCCTTAATCTGGTGCAATTCCTAAGGGCTTTCAGAAGGAAATCTAGGGGTTGCAGGGAAGCATAAGATGAGTCGAAAAGTCAGATTGTTGCAACAAAAAAAAAAAAAAAAAAACAACCAAAAACGAAACGCCCCTGTGGAGTGCATAAACAGGAGTGCTGTTTGCCAGACGTAGGGAATAACTCTCTTAGGTATTGGTAAGGCCTCAGCTAGAATACTGTCCAGTTCTGGGAGGAGCTGGAGGGAGTCCAGGGGAGAGCAGTGAGAATGAGCAGAGGTGTAGGAAAAACATGACCCACAAGGACAGATTGAAGGAAGTGGGTTTGTTTAGTCTAAAGAAGGCTGGAGAGAGGCGTGAGGAATAGTCCTCAAGCGCTTTGAACAGATAGCTGCGCTGAGAAGGGAGGCAAATTGTGCAGTGAACCGCACGACTGAGACGCGGAGCAACGCGATAATGCGGCTGTTGGAACAGACTGCCCACGGAAAGCGATCGCTAGTCTCACTGGAGGCTTTAATGTCAAGTTTCATCAACAGTTAAAAAATTAAGATTCCTTTTTGGAATGAGGGGTTGACCAGGTGGCGTCTTCAGGACCCTCTTTTTCCTGAAATGATGCTGTTATCCCAAGGCTACAGCAGCTAGCAGACCTTCCTGCGCCCTGCCTGTGTAGCAGTAAAGTGGAATTTCCATTTGAGGACAACCACAAGTGTAATTTTTTCAAAAAGTAATGAGCAACTTTTACTTGGTCCCCTCTGCAGACAAGGGCAGTTGCAAACTTGCAGCTGGGTGGCAAAGGGCCAAACTTAGAAGCTGTATGTGAAGCAATTCTCCTCCCTGTGCCTCAGTTTCCTTGCTTAGAAAAACGAGGATTAGACGGGTGAAATGCTAGAACGTACAAGAGGCTAATTCGTTCTTGCAAGAGAGAGAGGAAGATGTCGAGCGTTAGGTCCTACGATGAGGATAATTCTGTGTGTTTCTCCAGTTCTGTCCTTCCCCACCTTAAAAATACTTCATCTGCGAATCTTTTCCATTTCTGAACTGGTGTTTGCAGCCCTTGCCCAAGCTCTGTGCCCACTTCAGATTGCACGCGCAGCTCTGCACGGCGTTGCAAAAACCTGGCTGAGGGAGCGCAAGATCTCAAAGCTCTGATTCCTACCCCCATCCCAGATCCCATGTTGTTTGCTTTCTGATTTTACACTGGGGATTTGTTCACCTGTAGGAAAAACAAGGCAAAACAACGGTGGAAGGAGCTCCAGCTCCCCGCCTGGAGCAGCTGGCTGCGAAGCTCTGCTTTCCCAGTTGCGCACCGGTTTTTTCAGGACAGAAAAGCTGTAATGTTTCACCAAACTGAGTGTGAAGGTCGGGACTGCGCTGACGTTGGACGGTGTCCATCCAAGGAGGGGAAAAGTTGTAACTGTGGTCAGAGGCAAACAGCAAGCTGTGATGAAGCTGGGCCCTTCCTCCGCCCGATCCTTCGCATCCTGTTCCCGACTTCCCGCCCGCCGCCGCTGCGCCAGCTCCCTGTCCACGGCTCTGTTGGGAAAGATTCTCGTTCTGGGGCTCAGAGCAAGCATGGGGGCTGCCAGCTCAGCGTCTGGCGTGACAGCATCTCCCCGCTTTTGAGGAAAGGGGAAGCAAAAACGACATCAGCAGTTTCCCCCGCTCACTTTGTCATCCATCCACCGCTGGAGGACCCGCAACCTCTGACTGCAGCCGTGCTGCCAGCACCCCAAGGTGCAGCTCCTTCCCCACCTTTGCTTTCGCCCCAAGGGGAGCGCGACCACCGTCTGTTCCCGTCCTCTCGCGCTTCAGCGGCGCTCCGGCCCCATCAGTGCTCGGCAACGACATCCCTCTTCCCGCAGCGCTTCCCCGGGGTGCCGCAGGATCGCACCCTGGGCCTGGCACCCCGTTGTGCCTCAGCCTGTTGCAGGAACTTCATCTGGGCCGGCGGAGGGAAGGAGGGCTGCAGGTGCTTATCTTGGTCCATCTTCCTGAGTGTTCCCAGAATGCAAGCAATTATGATCCCACAGAGCCGCCGAGGAGCTGAGATCCCTATCTCTGGCAGCATCAGCAATCACCGTCTCCCAAGCAAATAAATATTTTAAACCCTTCTTTGCAAGATGGCATCAGCATTTCAACCAGAGCATCAAGTACATCAAAGATGGGAGCGAGCACGGCTGTGTTTAGAGGCAGCTGATAGGGAGGGAGCCGAGCGATAGGTTAAGACGAAGGCAGCGCTGCTTTACGTCCCGGTCCAGCCCGGAGTCGCTGA